GGTGGCTCACACCTGTAACTCCAGCACTTTGGGAGGCCAAGGCAGGTGGATCACCTGAGGTCAGGAGTTCGAGACCAGGTTGGCCAACTTGGTGAAACCCTGTCTCTACTAAAAATACAAAAATTAGCCAAGCATGGTGGTAGGGACTTGTAATTTCAGCTACTTGGGTGGCTGAGGCAGGAGAATTGCTTGAACCGGGAGGCGGTAGTTGCACTGAGCCAAGATTACACCACCGCACTCTCCAGCCTGGGTGACAGAGGGAGACTGTGCCTCAAAACAAAACAAAACAAAAACAAAAACAAAAACAGACATCATTCTGGTTGCTATACTGGGGATATATTGTAGTGGAAAAATAGAAGTCCCTGTTAAGAAACTATTGCAATAATTTTGGTAACATATGATTGTGGTTGGTGAGTCATTTAGGCAAAAAATTCTTAGTCAAGGTAGTAAAATGTGTTACGGGTCTGTATATAGTTTGAAATTTGAGACTACTGGATTTACTGATACGTTGGATATGATATATGAAAGAGAGAACTAAAATATATTTATAAGATTTCTGGACTGAAAAACCAAAAGGAAAGGGTTTTAATTTACTAATATAGGAAATATTTGGAGGGAACACAAAGGATAGAGAAGAGATGAGAAAAATGAGAGGCTAGGTTTGAGTTTATTTGCAGATGTCTAGTATATGTCCAATGATGACATGGATGTGATGTGACATGTGATTTTTTTCTTCTGCTGCTATTACAAAAATCTCCACCCCAGCCAACTGATAGTCTCCTCTCAACTCAGCCTTTTCTAGGCACTCTGGCTTCCTTGCCTTTCCACAAACTTCCCAGACATTCTCCTCTCTCAGGGGGCTTCCCACTTGATCTTCCCTTTGTCTGAAATGCACCTCTCACATTTTCCATATGGCTTACTTCCTCACTTCCTTAAGGTCTTTGCTGAAATGCCACATTCTCTGTGATGTTTTGCTCAGCTGCTATATTAAATATCATAACAATATTCTCCCCAGCCAACTGATAAGGAGTTGACAGTTAATTATAGGAATTCAGGGGAAATATCTGGATGGAAGATACAAATTTCGGAGTTGTCAGTTTATGGATGATAACCTATGTGGATGTATATAGAAGAGAAAGAGGTCTGAGGACTGAGTCTTAGGGCATCCCCAACATGTCAGGTCTAGAGTGTTGAAAAGAAATGATCAGTAAACTGGGAAGCAAATCAAAAACCGTATTGTTCTGGAAGCCAAATGAAGAAGGTAAAGGAGCAAAAAGTAATTAACTGTTATTAAGTAATGTCATTAATTAACATCAATTAAGTAATGTCAAATGTTGTCCATTAAAGTAAGATGAGTTAATATTGACCATTGATTTAGCAATGTAATCAATATTTCCTTTCACTAAGGAGAAGAAGCAAATGGAGTAACTAAAGACTCAAAGAGCCTGCTGCCTCATTTTAAGTCCTCCTTATATTATCTCAGCTTCTACTGTTTCCATGGACCTCTGCATTAATTTTGAAATTCTTGCCTATTTTATTTTATTTTGTTGTATTTTATGCTCCAATAGTCAGCATCTTACATCTGGGCAATACCTGATTTCATGTTAATATTTTCAATGTGATCTTTAATAAAATTATCTGAGAAAGCTAAGTCAACATTATCATTATTTTAGAAAACACCGTTTGTATAAATAACTGTTTATCGTCATTCTGCTGATTATTGGTGACCAAGGCTTCCAACCTCCTACAAGCTAAACTGGTACCTTTAATTTCAATGAAGAGAGTAGCTTTAATTTCAATAAAGTAGAGGTGCTTCCTTGCTTGTTCTTTGGACCTTCCTTTATGCATGCCCACTTTTATTCATACCTTCTATTTATTCTCACTTAATTCCTTGAATCTTGGTCTTCAATCCTTTCGAACAGCTGCATGCCATGACCTTTAAAGACAAATATTGATATGACTTCAGAGCTTCAGGGAATTTTGACTTATGTCGGCCTCTAAATCCAGAGGATAGTTTTCACATTTCCTGAACTCCAGTCACTTCTGAAGGATATAGTCCTTCTTATAAAGAAAAAAGCCAGGTGAATAACCAGGACTGTGAAGTTGAATATATGTGCACCCATTCTCTTGTAACAAAGATGTAGATAAATTGTCCACCGTCCGAGTACTCGGTGAACCTTATACACGACCACAGTACAAGTTCTCTTTCTTCTCCTACAGATTCTTTTCAAGTTTTGCTTACTTCTACTCTTATAATCAAACATAAAAAGTTCCTAGAACTTTAGTGATCTAATGACCATATTGCTATGCATAGTAGTCATCCATCTGCAGCTTCACTTTCCAGTCATGACAATTCACTGGCACCAGTTCATGCACATAAGAATGCAGTTGGACAAAAAATTAATCACACATTTTAAGTGATAAGATATCATATGTACCCCATAAATATGTACAACTATTATGTACATATAAATTTTTTAAATCATGCACATGGTGGACTGTCTCTGTGCCAATTTTCTGGTTGTGATACTGTACAAAAGTTATGTAAGATGCTACCACTGGGGTAAGCTAAATGAAGAATATATGGAATTTCTGTATTAGTTCTTAAGATGGCATGTGAATTTAAAATTATCACAAAATAAGATATTTTAATATTAAGTATATATTTTTTAAATTATACAGGTAAAATTGCATTCATGGTCAGATTTTTTATTCCATGACCATCACACTGTCATGTTGCTAGGAAGGAAATGTACTAGAGGAAAAAAAATGTCTTAGGCAGAAGCTATTAGGCTGGTCTTTGGAAGTGACATGGGGAAGTCACAGAAGTAAATGATAAATGGCAATCTAGAAAGCGAAAAGTAGTAATGAATATAAATTTTGATTTTAGCACCAAATATAATAGCGGTGTTTGCAGTATTATTGTGACTATAGGCTCCATCTCCACTCAGCCGCCATACTCCTAGTAAGCCAGCTGCTGCAGAATCATGCATTTTTTTGACAAGATTTAATCCATGTATCTAGTTGGTCATTATTGCAGTTTCTGAAGCAAAACCAAATATGCTCCCTGTATTTCCATTCTATCTCTTTTCTAGTCATCTGACTTCCCCTTCCTTTCCCAGAAATTCTTAAGATCGTTGACTCCGCTGACGGAAGTCAGGCTTCTGACTGCCTAATAAATAAGTTCACCAGTGAAAAGCCTATTTTTCATTCTGTTTAATTACAGACTTCAGAGACACTCAAAATGGAGGGTGTCTTGGGGACAAATAATACTGTGGGCTTGGTTTACTTTTCTCTTATTGGCGTTGGCACCAAGCCCTTCCTCTGCTTTGAAATTCATGGCTGTGACTGTGGCTGCATACTAAACAGACCGTGGCCACCACACAGTCTGCTTCATCCATCCAGATGCAGCTCAAGTAATCTGTATACCGTGATGGCCAACTCTGTGGAGTGGTTTAGGTAACTAACATTGCTGGTTTGTTTCTAGCACAATCTATGTGTGTGATCATAAATGGGTTCATATATTACAATTTGAATTGAATTTGATGAGCTACACTGGAGCTCAAATTGAAATATTTTCATTCTGCATTGTAGATCATGACCTTCAAAATTGGCCCTTAGAAGTGACCGTATGTATAAAATAATTAGATGATATATAAATAGTGTAAAAAATATCAAAAAATATAAGAAAGCAACAGTGAAAAGTAAGTTTCCTTTCCACGCTTGTTTTCTTAGTTTCCAATTTCCCTTTTATAGAGCAACCACTGTTAGCAGTTTCACGCAGAGACATCCTATGCATATATAAACATATATGCCTAGGTTTTATGGATGGAGAAAATACTATAGCTCTACCTTCCTATGTTTTGCATGCAAAAGAAACATGATGTGCCCAATATTTTGTGTTTTTGTTCCTTTTATTCAGTAACTATTAGAGACCTCTCTATATCAGCATCTGTGATCTGTCTCCACCTTTTCAGATTCCTGGTATTCTGTTGAACATATATAACAATTTTGCACTTAGTCTTTCAAAGTTTCATGAATTTTTGCTGTTTCTAATATTTTCTTAACACCAAAAATGCTTTGATGAACATCATTGCATATAATAATTTGTGCCATATGTAAGGGTATTTGTAGGTACATTCATGTATATTACAATATTCTATCTAAGGGTATATTTACTTTTTATATTGATGTATATTGTTTTCCAAAGAAGCTGTAAAGTTTTCTCAACCACATATGAGAGTATTTGTTTCCCCGTATTTATCCTTCCTCCCTATATTATCAGTTTTTGAACTTGCCAATCTGCTTATAATTCTAAAGTATGTTTATCTAATTACAAATAAGGTTAAGCATCTTAACAATCACTTGTTACATTCTTTCCACATAACCATTCAGCTCTTCATCATTCCCTGAAAGATACTCATCTTCCCTTCAAGCTAGTTTAAAATGGCAGCTTAAATAAATTTGTTGATTTGAGTCTAACCTCTCCATTTCTGAACTCTCTATTCTTTTACGTGTATCTTACTATTTACATCTATCAGTACTAATTTTTGTACAATGTCATTGCTCAAGACACCTTAATATACAATAGTTTAGTGCTGCTTCTTTTTTTCAGAATTTCCCTAGATATTCTTGCCTTTTTGTCTGTTGTAGTGATGGAATTGTTTTATAAAATATAAACTGAAATATACCTTGTTGGAATACACATTGTATATCATAACAATGAGACAGGGAAAGATTTATGCCTACGGTTGGGTTAGATCGGGAACTGAAAATGGTGTGTAGGAGAGAACAAAGTGTACCAACAAAGGAAAGAGAATTGAATAAATGTTCCAGGTATGAGATACTATTAGAAACCCAAAAGCTCCCTGAATAAAACATGCACTTGAATGTGGAAAGTTATTTAAGTAGCCAGCTAACTCTGTAAGTCAGCATTTATAACCCCTACTTTTAAAGACCTTGACAAACAGTGCTAAAGTTCTGACCTTAAACTTAAATTCCTTGGGCTCTTAGCACCTGCAAGCATGCACCCAACATTCCTTCCCCTAGCATGCACTTCACCAGTCACAAGAAGCCATCATTAATCCATGTCCTGACAGGAAGCATAACTTATAGAGAAGCTAGTATGTTCTGAGAAAGAAGGAAGTAAACACAGGCAGCAAACCACTACCCTAAGCTGACTGTCCTTTAAATATGTCAAGATCCAGACTTTTCAGTGTCACTTCAGTGATCTCAACAATAGGGATCTTGTGTTTGCTGCTATTCCAGGTAACTATCTCTCTTTCTGGAAAAAGGTACTTTGGGTGCTTGAATTGCTAAAGATTTGTATGTGAGCAACTTAACTGTTTCTACATTTAAAAGATTTCCTTCAAGTGTTAGTAGCATCTTATGATTTATTGTATTCATTGGTCAAAGGGACAAGAAAATGTCCATTAGTCTTATTTCTCCCTTAATTAGTTCTATTGTTATTGAAATAATGTGATTGCATATTTAACCTTTGTTTAACTTTGCTATGCTGTATTACTTAAATTCAAAATGCTATTGATACAGAAAAAAATGCTATGGCTGGATTAATTTAAGATGTGTTTACTGTTGCCTGCAACCATACTTGATGCTTGACAGTTTTTCAATGCTGACTGATGTAGACAGAACCATTTTAGGATTTATTTCAGTTCCTCTGCTCCAGCATCTCTTTCTGACTCACCTGTATCTCTGTATCTGTGTTACTTCAATACAAGGTATCTGAAAGATTTAGATCTAAAGTATATTACAGCTTTGCCTACTTCTTCGTAATAACTGGAAGTTTGACAGCTAATGTGTTGGCAGTGAGGTGCTAATAATGTAAAACTGTGTACTGTTTCTAGGGTACAATGCACAGAAAAGACATGGAAGTGACTTGAAAGTGAAATGCTGGCTTTATTTGTTTATCTGTTAAGCTGAATCTCAAATGATTTCATCTACTCATAAATAAACTTTCTTTATGGACAAAATGTGAATGTTCATTTTCTTTTTACTTAGTATGCAAATCTATTTGCAGCATTCTAGCAAAAAAGAATGCAACTCATTTTCTGTGCTTATAAATTGTTCATTACCATGCTCTCTAATGGCCAATTCATGGCTCCATCTGCAACTCCACAAATCTCTTTGCCCAGATAAACTTGGTGGAGTAAATACAAGGTGCTGAAGAAGATGCATTTGGGATTAAGGGAGAGAAGACAAATCTCACACAGAATTCCCAAGTCAATCACTTAAATTGTGTAACTTCTTACTTGTAATTTTATTTGCATGTTACAGTCCAGGAAAATAAATACTTCCACTGACTCAAACTCAGTGTTTAGAGCTACAGATAATTGCCATTTGAAGACATTCTCATTGCACAAGGAAGGAGTCCTGGTTCAAAGGGTCAAGCAAGCAAACAAACAATAAAACCTTTAGAAAGAAGTGCCTTTTTCCTTGTGATTTAGGATATGAGATGCTGTAACCTATGACACTCAGCTCAGAAAACTCAGAGCATTATTTTAGAATGCTTATAGAATAGAGCTTTTCAAACAAAGCAACCATGATGATTACTTTTTTTTTCTCTTCTCTGATAAAGAGAAGACTGTAAATATCAACTGTAATGTCATGTGATCTTAAATGGACCTTAGCCTTAGATCAGGTTAAAGCCACCCTTTCATGCTTGTATTTAATACCTATTACTAATAGGATTGACTTCTGTTTCCACTTATGTACTTGGAACTTGTTTTTTGTTTTTGTTTTTGTTTTTGTTTTTTAGTGAAAATAATACTCACAAATAATGAACCTCTGTCCTCTAGCTAAAACATGAAAACAAAAAATGTATGATGAATAAAAACTCTTTAGAGAAAGCAAAATCTACTTACAGAAAAAACAGAAGTTGTCGTAAAATCCATTTATACTGGTATGTGAAAATGGAATCTGGTTCACAATATATACCTTCTGCCACTGCTGAGCTTAAGAATCCACCCAGAGATTTTTTTCAATTAAAATTCTGTGTACCGACAATAAGCTCTGCCACAAGCTTTTAATTAAAAAAGCAAACGAAATGGTATAAACGCACATTGTCTCTAGATGCTGTTTGTGTTAAAGGATTAGACTGATGAGATGTTTGGATTTTATTGTTCTAAACATGTGTTTCAGTTGGTGCTCTCGGACCTACCATGTGAAGAACATGAAATGTAAGTAAACAGTGAAATACTCCATGTTTTTATTTAGTATTTAAAAAATTCAAAGCATAAAAAAAGGCTTAAGTCATTAGCAAAGGCCCAATTGAATTTCAAATGATCATTATATTTATGTAAGAAGAAAAGTAAATAGTTTGTAAATGCAGATGACTCATTTTTTTTTTGAAAATAGAAAAGGTAATTTTCATTATGATCACTTTTGTTAAATAAATAAGGGGCCTAGCTGATTTGCATGCTGAATTTCTCTCCTGCAAGGTTTCAAGGTTACTTTTAAGTTCACAAAAGAATCACAATGTTATGTATGGTTGCATCCAAACTCAAAAGTCACAGTGACCAAGGGAGGCAGTTTTCTGTACAACTCATTTTAAAATACAAACAAACTAACCAAAATTCTAACCTGAACTGTGTGTATATTTCAAACTGCTTGTGATATGAATTATGTGAATAATTTACTTAATTTTTTTCACTTTTTATGCTATAGACTTAATGTTTCTCAGAATTCTGTTAAGGAGATAAAGAGAAGGTGTCATTAATAATTCTACTGATAATTAATAGCTGTAATTCATTGTGACTTGGTGCAAATATCAGAAAAGTACTTCCATCCAGCACTGTCTTCTCCTGGTTGCAGCACTTACTATTAGCCAGCTGTTTTCAGTTTTCTTTCTTTCCTTCCTTCCTCCCTCAATCCCTCCCCTTCTCTCTCTCTCTCTTTCTTTTTTCTTTTTCTCTCTTTCTTTTCTTTGTTTCTTTCTTTCCTTTCTTTCTTTTCTTTTCTTTCTTTCTTTCTTTCTTTCTTTCTTTCTTTCTTTCTTTCTTTCTTTCTTTTTCTTTCTTTCTTCCTTTCTTTCTCTCTTTCTTTCTTCTTTTTTTGACTGAGTTTGCTCTTGTTTCCCAGGCTGGAGTGTGATCTCAGCTCATTGCAACTTCTGCCTCCCAGATTCAAGTGATTCTTTTGCCTCAGCCTCCCGAGTAGCTGGGATTACAGGTGTACACCACCACGCCTGGCTATTTTTTGTATTTTCAGTAGAAATGGGGTTTCACCATGTTTACCAGGCTGGTCTTGAACTCCAGACCTCAGAAGATCTGCCTGCCTTGGCCTCCCAGAGTGCTGGGATTACAGGTGTTAGCCACCACACTTAGCCACTGTTTTCAGTTTTCATTGTCTGTTACCCTCAATGTCATGCTCTCTGTATAGCAGGAGGCTATGACTGTATTGTACAGCAGAGGCCATGCTAGTTGAAATGTTTTCCTACACCCTGGGAGCAGTCACCTGTTTTTGGTGAACCATCTTATGGTTAACAATCTGCTTATTAAATTTGCGCTGCTCTTTCAGCTTTTGCTTGGCTCTCCATTGTTATTTCTTTATGTTAGTTTTGGAACTGCTTTTTCACTCCGTCTTATGCTGTTTGTGATGTAACACAGATTTTGTTTGTATGCTTATCTGACTAGATTTCATGCCTGCCCTCATTTTTATCTCCTCATCTTCTGCCTTGGACCCAGAATAACAAAATAAAGAAGTTCAGAACTGGAAAGGATCTAAAACGTTGAATCCAACTCTAATCAACATAACAGAAAAATATGGTATTAAGAAAGTTTTTATGTTGACTTTAGAGCTACTGAAGCTACTGCTCTCCCTTTTAAATGAAAGAATTGAAACCTAAGACAAACAGTAAATTAGTGGTAGGATTTCAACTGGTACTTAGGTATGACATTCTTTGGCTACATCATTTTGCATCTAAGTGTCTGTAATGTTTCTCATTATTTAATACAACTGCTTTTGGGTAAAAACAAAACAAAAAACCCTCAAATGAAATGCAGACTGGCAGAAAAGGAAAAAGAGAGTGGCTGGGAATGTAGGGTGGTCGTATAAGGTAAGTAAATGTATTGAAGACGGGAGCAATATATCAAATCTTTTGTTATCACAAGACAGTGTCAGAGGGATGAATCTGTAAGGAAAGTCATGCTGTTTTCTGAGAAAGTAAAAAGCCCCCTCTAGCAAAATGCTTTCTCTAACTATATCTATACAAGGTATTTCAGTTTAGAATCACTTCTCTGATCTGAGATATTATCTCCTGTTAAAATACACTACCCAGCCAAGAGATGATATTCATTAATTTACCAGCACTGCTATAAGAGAGTAACACACAACGTATAGAGTCCAGTAAAAAGGATGATAAGGATGTTCTACTTCCAATAGCCTTTAGACATGAGAAACCCAAAAGGATGGTAACTTCTCCAAACTTCACATGCAAAATGGACACAGAAAAGGGAGGCTTGGATTAGAATGCAAGGGAGTATAAAGGCAAAACCATGAAACATGGTTTGCCTAGGTAGACGCCATGTGGAGGAAGCACTGATTAGCTAGAAATAAAAACATTTTTGTTAATAAACTTCTATGTTCCAAAAATTGTGCAAAACCATCTTCATATATTTTCCATTTAAAAAAAGGGTCACTTGGGTAAGGTGGCTCATGCCTGTAATTTCAGCACTTTCAGAAGTCAAGGTGGGTGGATCACTAGGTCAGGAGTTTGAGATCAGCAGAGCCAACTTGGTGATACCCCATCTCTGCTGAAAATACTAAAATTAGCTAGATGCATCTGTAATCCCAGCTACTTAGGAGGCTGAGGCAGGAGAATCATTTGAACCCAAGAGGTGGAGGTTGCAGTAAGCTGAGATCATGTCACTGTACTCCAGCCTGGGCAACAGGGCAAAACTCCATCTCAAAAATAAGTAAATAAAATAAATAAATAAATAAATAAATAAATAAACAAACAAACAAACTGGTCTATTTTTTATTCTCTATTTAAATTTGTTTTCAAAACCAGGGCATGTTTTTCTGATCCAACCCAATTATTTTTCTTTTATAACTGTATTTTTAATATGAACAAAGCATTGCTGTGCTTTGTGTAAAATTTAAATACTATAAGTAATGCATTTTATAAAGTAAAACATGACAGAGCCCCTCTCATCACACCTCTGACTTACTCCGCTTCTGACAAATAGCCAAGGATACTGATGTGCATCAATGAACAGATTAATTTATGAAACATAAATGTGACTATACATATAAAAGATTCTGTAAATTAACTGCATTGATAAATTTTCTAATGATATACCTCATCTTACGTGGCTCGATAAAGTGAAATAGTTTACTCAAGAGTAGGAAAGTAATTTAAAAGGCAGAGTTTGGATTTGGATCTGGGACTGACTCCTGAGTCCTGAATTTCAACCACAAAGCTATATCATATGTCTAACATTTAATCAATTATACATCTGGTAAAATACCTCAGGGATACTTAGTGCATTCATTCTTCGAGATACTAAACAATTTACTATCAGTTTCTGGGTGATATGATTTGAGACTCATCCCTCCCTCAAATTACTATAGCTGAATTACACTTTGGCCTATGTTGAGGCATTATTAAAAAGAAAAAGCATTCATGAAATTTGTTATTGAATTTATTCTGAGAGTACTATGGAAAACATTGTTCTTGATGGTTGACAGTGTTCTCTTTATGAGGCCTTATAGCTTGAATTTTTCTCTGGTTTCTATGCCAGGAATAGTAGTGCATCTGGTGAGTAATGCTGTTCATTTTGTTAATTTTAGAGGATACTGTATAACCAATATTCTCTCTCATTATGTTAGCTACTAGAAAGCTTAAGATCTGCAGTTCAATTTAGATTTTATATATGGTATTTACTATATTCAGTTTACAAACTGATCTCACTATTGGCCTATTCTGTTTGTCTGATACTCATCAGGCTCTCATTTCTATTTTTTTTTTCAATATTTCCTTAAAGCATTTGGAATGGAGGATGTTGGATGCGCTCAGGCAATACTACACATAGTAACATGAGGTTAGAGCTGGCTGTTACTGTTCCCAGTTGCACCATTACATGGTGGTAAGAGACATGGACTCTGCAGCCAGATCATTTCAGTTTAAAACCTACTTCTACCACTTCCAGCTATGTTACCTTGGGCAATTTACTTAATGTCTCTGTGACAGTTTTCTCAGTTGCAAAAGGAGAATTATAATAGTATGACCCTACCATACAGTGGTATAAGTTTGAGAGTCCGTTATTTCACATGAAGTCATGCAACAAGTTTTAGAAGAGTGCCTGGCCTAGATAATGCTAAGTGATGTAACAGAGAAACCAGTGGAGCAACTCTGAGTATTTCTTCCTGAATTTATTAAATTCATAAATGTATAGTTGATATAAGGTCCACAGATTCTCAGCACCTAGAAGAAGAATAAAAATCTACTCATCTAACCATTCGTATAGTACAGAAATCATCTCCATGACATCAAAGTAACAAAAGGAAGCTGTTGTTCTGATAAGAACAGAAATTATCTCCTTCAACAACCAATTCTAGATCATTCTTATTCCAAATGTCTTTCTCACATGTTATAGTCAGCTTTCATTTCTTCCTGATGATTATATATATATTTTCAGCATAATCATTCTAATTTGACCAATCCCTGAGGAATAACTTCATTTTCAAAAATATAACTTTCCTATACTGAATATCTTGGAAGTGATATTTGAGTAATTAGAATACTCTTACTTTATTAAGAACTCAAAAAGTTTCTGCTTAAAAGTTGAATTTCAGTAAGAAATAGAGATAATAATTAGGGGAGGGGAGCATATGGATCCAGAAGACACATGCTTCAGTGGAGTTCCCTAACTAGCCAATGACCTCCCTCTTCCTTTCTCCACCTCAAGTCTCAGTGGTACACTATATAAAATCTTAAGGGTGAAATAAACGATCTCAAAGGTGCCTGCAATTTGGAAATTACATGATTACTGCATTTCTCCAGCTGTTTCCTAGCCATTTTATTGCTTATCAGAAGCTCCACCAGAGGGTGCAGCAGCTCAGAAAGAAAAAGTTAAATAAGTCGGTTCGGAACATTGTTAGCCCAGGAAGAAAAAAATAGAATGCCTTAAAGATTAGATTTAAAAAACAAAACGAGGTGGTTAATATTTAGAATTGACTTCAACTATACGTATATGGGCTATTTTAAAACGGAAAAAAAAAGGGAGAAGCAGGAGTGAGATGAAATAATCCAAACTCTTGATCATCAGCTCAAATGTCACAATTGAAGAAAAAAAAACCTTGTGCTTTTTTAATTGGGCCAGGACACCGAGAGAATTTCACCACATCCGCCTCTTAGAAAACCTGTATTTTTAAGGTTTTGATATTTTTAATATAATATTTTAAAGATTTTTTAACTACAAAGTGATTCATATACACTAAGTCAAACAATATAAAAATATTAAAAGTACAGAGTTCTTCATAATGCCATCTTCAAAGAAGTGAGAACTTTACTAGTCTGGTATATATTTATGTCTAGTAGTAATTTTGGTGAAATCATTGTACTCGTGGAAAATAGTATATGCAAAGTAGGATCTATACTATTTTACTTAACAAGACTTATTTATAAACATGTTTACATTATTTTCGATGGTTGAACAATATTACCTTGCAAGTATGTTACATTAATTATTTTTCACATCTTTTATTGATGGTCATTTGTCTTAGGAGGCTTTTTAAAGTCACACTTCAGTTGCCTTTTTTCTCCCCCAGCCATTTGTACCTGTGAATTTTGCTAAACACTCTGGGTGCTCAAAAGAACAAAGAGAAAACAAACAAAAAAAACAGACAGAAAAAAAGGGAAGGAGGAGATATTTATATGTGGAGGGGGAGGAAATCATCTGTAGGCTGGGTAACTGGTTTTTGTCTTAAATGTTCGTGAAAAAATGTTTAAATTGACACTTCACATATGTTAAAAGTCATTTCTGACTGGTATGATGATGGGCATGACACACTGCTTCCTCATGGAAGCTAGAAGCAATAAATGAATTGACATTTATGAATGTCTTCAAACTGAAATGAACTGAAATATTTTAACAATGGCCGAAGAAGATATGATTAAGTATCCTGTCTTCTCAGAAGCGTATCTGACTGCGAATAACAGATTTCTACTGTTCAAGCTCAGAATACCTTAAAAGTCTATTGAGGTATGAAGAAAGTCCATCAGCAAACTTACATTTAGCGTGCCATGTTAGACATAGTGAGGGACTCTGTACACCTGCGGAGTTATACACCCCCCAAATCCACTTGTGAACTGTGTTTGTCTGTGATCTTTTAAAACTTGTCTCAGGAATGATTGAGTTGTGGCTAGACACACAAAGGACCATTCTGACTGAAGGAATCAACTTCAAACTCCTTGGTAAATGGTTGGTATGGCCACATTCATTCATTTTCCTCCTAGTCTAATTTCTTCCCTCACCAATTGTATAACAAGAGTGCAACAAGTTGTCCAATGCCTGCTATTCTCTACCAAGGTATTCTTCCCTGGAAAATCTGAGTTTCAAGTGACTATAGGTCTCTAGATGAACAGTATAATGGTTACCTGCCTAACATCTAACACCTGTGATTTGTTGTCCCTGAAGAGTTAGTCACTGCCTTTTCAATGCATACAGTATTTGTAACTCTAGAATCAAACCCATTATAGTGTAATTATCTGTTTGTGTATCAGTCGGATAGTTTCACATTTACTTGTATTCCCAGTGCCTTGAATTGAGTGGGCATAAACATTTGCATAATTGTGTTGGGTGTGGGGAGGCATGAGCTGATATGGGAATATGTAGGTGATTTTTTTTTTGGAGAAACAAGTGTGATCAATACTAATTTTATTGGGTGAAAGAAATAGGCTTTGGCTATCCAGAGTTCCAGGACTAATGATCTTCCTTTATCACCAGGTGTGTAAATTATAATGATCGACACCCTAATGGCTGGTATATCTGGTAAGAATGTCCTCCGTTTGTTTTATACGACAGTTGGTGGCATATACAAACCCTTTGTTCTAAATAATATGAGATGGTACATGAAATCATACAGCCTAAGGGGTCATGCAAATCAATATAGAAATATCCCTTTCAGATTGTTGGCTAGTGTTTACTTAAACACTTCTTGTGACAAAGGGACTCACTATTTTTAAGAATAAGAGTTTATTCTAGAGTTGAAAATCTTTAACAGCAAAATAATTGTTCTTTGTCTTGAAATCTCCCTAAATGACTCTCCACTGATGTTAGTTCTGGCCTTAAAAGCCATTCCAAATAACCACTATCTCTTCTATGAGATAATCCTTCAGAAATTTTAACCTCTTACATCTTGACATTTGCATATTCTCAACTTAACATTGTCAGTTCTATCATTTAGCTGGCTAGCTCCTCAAAGGCAGAGACCCAGTGTACTTTTGAATTCTTAACCCCAATATCTAAAGTGTGTGCAGTTACTTAAATACTAACTGAATGGATGGATGGATGGATAGATGGATGGATGGAAAAAGGAAGAATGGATGAATAAATTAAGACACTATGTTTTAGAATAACCCTCCAATTCCCAAGGAGAAAATGACTACTACCACCCAGAAAGATCAACCCTCTCTGAGGCCAAAGACTAATTCTGGTTCAGTGAAAATGTATAGGTGGTGGTATGAAATTGCTTAAGGAATCCAGTGTCCCAGATTGCTTGTGGCCAGTATAGCTGAGTCCTCATCCACTTCCGGGTAGTAATGGAAGCTCTTAACTTCCCCACATGCTCTACCTCGTTCTTCCCTGGTAACTTCTGGAGTCAGGATCCTGCTGCTGGTTTTCATGGCAACTCTTCTCTGTGGAGCAGTGGTCCTCTGCCTCCAGTGCTGGCTGAGGAGACCCCGAATTGATTCTCACAGGCGCACCATGGCCGTTTTTGCTGTTGGAGACTTGGACTCCATTTATGGTGAGTTGTCTACACTTTGGACTCCTTTTAGAAACTTAGTGGTTTTGTAATGAATTTAGAAACTATTCTCCCAAAAGCAGATTTGTGAACTTGGAAAAGAATATGGCTTATTGGAGACAGAAAGCCCTGCATTGAGGAGAGTTTAAGGGAGAAAATTTCAAAAGAAAGGCACTCCCAAAAGAAAGAAAACGTGTCTGGGGAACCGACCCACGGTTGAGTATAGGGACAGCAACTAAATATCTTGTGTTCAACAAGTAGAAGAGAAGAGAAGGGCTGGACAGTCCAGGTGAATGGTAGGGTTTACGGTACCAAAAATCATCTCCGAGCTTTTATTATCAACCTATCTTAACTTGTATTTGTAATTTCATTTATTGAGCTTCCTATACTTTACTGAACTCATGTGAAGTAACACTGAACAAAACTTTCCAGATTGTCTACGGTCAATGCAGAATCTGAAATTCTATAGAATGGTCAGGAGAATGTCAATTTTCATGCCCTTTCATCTGAGCATCCTGATCCTATCAGCGCCCAACCCCTCTCCCAAAACCATGCCCTTTCCTTCATTTTCCAGTTTGCATAAGGAAATAAAAAATGGAGAAAATTAAGGGCTTAGAGTTATTTGTAGCTGCCAGCCTCAGCTGTGAGTAGAAGAAAAAAAAAAGAAAGAAAGAAACAGCAACTTACTGATTTCTAGGAGGTCATAATTGATCGGAGTTTCTTCATCTTAACTGTTGTCCCAATCAGGGATTGTTGGGAAACTTTATTCTAAGGGACTGCATTCCACACTATGGTTACTTCAAGAGTACTTAACAGAGATAATAACTAAAGCCATCTTTCAGAAACTTGAGCCACCATGACATTTTCAATAGATGGAGCAAGGTGTGCCTTGAGAAAAACTAACAGCTAGATGAAAAGTGGGGTAAAAATAAATAAAAATGTGTTAACATCAAACTCAGTTTTCTAACATAATGATTATATTCACTTTCACCTTTTTCTCTCCTTTAGAAGTTATTAGTTAAAAGAGGCAACATATTACCAGTTTGGGAAATGGCTATTTTAGAAAGGATAATTAAAGTCTCCAATAACAATAAGTTCTTTCTCCTAAAATCAAAAGCCCTTTCCACGGGGCATAGAGGGAAATAGGGTTATTGATCTTTTAACAAAATACATTAGTCAAAGGAGTCAACATGGTAACATTGGACTATTTTTCTTTATTTACCTAGAGGTATTTAATAAGTAAATGCAATTATGCTTTTTAATCTGAACTTACGTTTCTAAAAAGAAAAATGCAGCCTGGTATTTTCAGCTCTTCTCTTACTTTGAGAAAGACCTTTTATCTTGAATCTTAAAAGAATTTACTTTTAAATTTTAAGTATATTATTAAGCTAGTCAGTTTTCCTGTTATAATTTTTAAAGCAGTTTATGTGCCATGGTTATATACTTCTTTGTCTAATGTTTTTATATTTCTTGCATTGTAGTTTCCATATGAGCTCTTGAACTTGCCTGAACAGTAATGAGTATGAGAGAAGGTGTCACGGCTGATGTACTTACTGCTTTAGCAATCTGCATGTGATAGCACTGAATGATGGACAATAGACTCACATTCTCTATATTACTCTGAAATCATTCAGAACAGGCAAAAAAAAAAATCCTTGGGTATAAATAGCATTTAAAAAAATACGGTCACAATTTGTTTTACATTTGTCAAAAGCTAAGCAGTAATTTGAAAATTTTCAGATATTATCTCTAATTCCTAAATATCAACTTGGAAAGTGGCTATTTATCTTAGAGGGTGTTATTTACTTCCGTCACTCTCGACGATAAACATACATGCGTAGATGTTTACTATAAGTCAACAAATCGAGTTTAATGTCCAGAATTGGTGATAGGGAACCAGTGAAAATGTGGGCTGGTCATTCACAGCACAGCCCATCCCTAGAGGGTAAGAGGTGCTCACTATTTGAACACCTAGACGTTTCTTTAGAGCAGCTCTTCAGTGGTAGGGCTTGTGCTCCAGGATCTTCATGCTGATCCTCACTCTATCCTTTGCTCTCAATTCCGCTGATTTAACTTCCGGATCTAATTTTGCTCAAGAAACATTTAAACACTTCCATCCTTGGTTGTGTTGCAAATCTCTCCACTACTGATTCCATTAGTTGCTCCATCCTATTCATCTTTTCTTGTGCCTACACTGAATTGAGCATTCGGTTGTTCCACCTATTGCTCATCTCCCATCATGTCTTGGGGATGCTTAGGATGGCAGGACAAGCAGGGAACAGCTCTTCAGACAGTCTTTGATGGGATGCGGTGTCCAGAGCTATGCTTTTTGGCAATCCCATTTCCCCTCTCCAAAACAAAACACAAAAGAATAATTTAGGAAGAGGTGATCTTCCATCTCTAGAGACTTCTTATCTAGTAATTTCTGGAAGTAAATTTTAGACAGTCTTTTCTTTTTTTGTGAGGGGGAAGAAGTAATGGTTAACATATTTTATTGCATTTTAGGTTTTGGGGTACATGTGAAGAACATGCAAGATTGTTGCACAGGTACAGACAGTCAATATTTCAAGACAGTCTGAAGCCTGGACCCATACTAAACTTACATTCCCCAGTAGGTCCTCATTATACTTTCACTTCTCCATAGAAATGATTCTTCCTACCTAATATTTCTATAAAAAGAAGCTGCTCTCCTAAAGAAATTAGAAAACTGCTTACTTTTATGGCTACAGAAGGAGGTGAAGGTCAAAAACACAGCATCTACTTCCACAGCTCCCACAGAGTATGTGCTCACAGCTAAGGATTGAGTCCAGCTGTCCCAGGATTCATATGCCCACATCAAGGTTACCGGACTGTGCTTCTGAATTTCTCTCACAGTCCCTGTTCAGAAGAGAAAGAGAAAAATGAGAAATCTCTGGAATGACACTGGCGACATGTTAGAATATAAAATAGTTTCTGGACTCCCTGCCATTTCTTGAGCACAAAGGAGAAGGTAGGATACTCCCCGCTGAATACAGAATGTCGGAAATGGGTCATTTGAAACATTTTAATGGAGAGACTAGGTTTGAGATATTAAACTTGGGTTCCTCCCAGACTTAATTAAAAAATTTTTTTTCCAAAACTTACTTTACTTAATTATCACCATTTATTGAATATATTAATTGAAATAGGTCTGCTCTTCTGACCTGTGGGGCAGAGGTTTGACTCTCAGGATATTCTGGAAGCAGCCCTCAACTGAGAGGAACTAAGAGAAAACTTCTGACTGAAAGCTGAGGTGGACAAATTATACTATTGTTAAAATATATAAAATAGAAAATTTCTTTCAATCAAAACTGCTGACACTATTACATGGTGCAGGTTGCCAGTTATTCTGATTAGAAATACTAAACAGAGGCCAGGCACGGTGGTTTACGCCTGTAATCCCAGCACTTTGGGAGGCCAAGGTAGGTGGATCACGAGGTCAAGAGATCGAAACCGTCCTGGCCAGCATGGTGAAACCCTGTCTCTACTAAAAATACAAAAAAATTAGATGGGCGCAGTGGCACAGTGCCTGTAGTCCCAGCTACTCAGGAGGCTGAGGTGGAAGAATCACTTGAACCCAGGAGGCAGAGGTTGCAGTGAGCCGAGATTGCACCACTGCAATCCACAATCCAGCCTGGCGACAGAGCAAGACTCTGTCTCGAAAACCCCCCCAAAAATAAATAAATAAATAAATAAAATAAAAAATAAAACAGAGAGAGAGAAGAAATACTAAACAGAAAATAAAACCAAACACTTGGCTTGGATCCTTATAAAAGGTTTAAGGAAGCTGTTCCCAACACCTTCCCAATGTCTGATGAGATTTCCTATCTGGGAGAGGTCCTTGGGAGCTCAGCCAAATACCACAGACCCCATTAGCATTTCCTGGGCCAATGTTCCTGTCTTTTCACAGTACTCTGCTGATTCAGTCTTCAGATAACTGGTCTTCCTTCCACTTCATAGGATCTGTGCCCCTGAATTGTGGATCCTAGACTCAGGGGCTTCTCAGAAGTTGTTGGATTTAGTAGAAGAGACCCTGGCACTTATGTGCTCAGTGATCACTCTCTATGTGCATATGTTAGGAAGCTCTTTACCCTTCCAAAAGGGAAAAACATTCCCTCTGATGCCGCCTATCGTGGTCTGAGTTGTGTCCCACCCAATTTCATATGTTTGAATTCTACCCCCGGTATCTCAGATTATGACTATATTTGAAGATAGGGTCTACAAAAAGACAGACAATGAAATTAAAATGAAGTAATTGAGATGAACCTTAATTCAATATGATTATCATTCTTATCAGAAGATATTAGCACACAGACAAGCACAAAGTAAAGACCATGTCAAAGCACAAGGAGAAGGTGACCATCTGCAGTCCAAGGAAAGAAGCCTCAGAAGAAACCTACCCTGCTGACACCCTGATCATAGATGTCTAGTCTCCAAAATTTTGAGAAAATATATTTCTGTTATTTAAGTGATCCAGTCTGTGGTACTTTGTTATGACAACTCTGGTAAACTAATACAACTCTCTCGGGATATGAGGAGGAAGAAGAGGTATTGCCAGAGAGGGATGAAGAGAAGAAGATCAGAAGTCAAAAAGGCAGAAAAGGAGAAGATGTGGAGCAAGAGAAAGAGGAAGAAGAGAAGAAAGAGTTTAAAATCAGAGATATTTTAAGGACTACAATTTAACCTACTTACCTTAATCAAATTCTAAATTATTTTTTTTTTATCTTCAGGCCCACTTCCTCTTCCTGGTGTCAGCTCCAGAATCTCCTCATCTCCCTTATTCCCTTATTATGCTGCCCTGAACTTCACTCATTTCTGGATCCAGTTCTCCTTCACCAGCTCTGCTACAACCCAGAAAGTGTCCACTCAATGCCCTTATGTCTTTTGAAATGGCATCATTCATGCTATAGTTTCTGAGACCTTCTTACTTCCTTCCCTGAACCATGAATGATAAATAATTCTAGTATTATGTGGGTGCGTTTTGTTCAGCACCTGTGTTGGGGTAATTTTTTTTTATTTGTTTCAATGTTTTCTTATCTCAGTGTATTCGTCTATTTTTATACTGCTGATAAAGACATGCCCGAGACTGGGCAATTGACAAAAGAAAGAGTTTTAATGGACTTACAGTTCCACATGGCTGGGAAAGCCTCACAGTCATGGTGGAAGGCAAGGAGGAGCAAGTCACATCTTGGATGGCGGCAGGCAAAGAGAGAGTAAGGAAGACACAAAAGCAGAACCCCCTGATAAAACCATCAGATCTCATGAGACTTATTCACTACCACAAGAACAGTGTTGGGGGAAACCACCCTGTGATTCAATTATCTCCAACCAGGTCCATCCCACAACACGTAGGAATTGTGTGAGTACAATTCAAGGTGCGATTTGGGTGGGGACACAGCCAAACCATATCCCTCAGTATCTTACCTAATTTAATAATGCCTTCAGAATATCTCCTAAGTAATAAGGCAACTGAAAATACAGAATATTTCCTGTATTAATCCATTTTTACATTACTATAAAGAAATACCTGAGACTGGGTAATTTATATTTTTAAAAGAGGCTTAAATTGGCTTGTGGTTCTGCAGGCTGTATGGGAAACACAGTGCTGTCATCTGCTTGGCTTCTGGGGAAGCCTCAAGAAACTTACAATCATGAACGTCTTCTAAGAAAGCAACTTTGAAGATTCTATCACTAGGAACACAATATTGACAGTGGCAAAAGTAGAAATAAATTGGAGCTAGTACAAATAATAGTTGTGTCAAGTCAGTTTGGTTGAACATGTCTAAGCAGAAAGATAGTTAAGTTACTTTGTCTTTGTGCTAAATATACTAGAAGCAGTTCACCAAGAAAATAGCCATCATTCAGTACAAGTATTCACAATGGAGGAAATTACTGGGTCAAGTATAGTTTACCTGTGTTGACTCTGATTGATCAAGTCCCACAGACTTATCTGACATCAATCCAAACTTACAAACTGCAAAGGGCTCTGACTCCATGATACTTTTCACTTAATAACTCTTATATTATAATTAATAATGATCATGTTTAAATCATTATTTAACCTTGAAAAGAGGATGAATTGAAAAATAATATTGTAAATGAAAGAAGATGCATGTATGTTCCTAGGATTAGTACAGTCTTGACATATTGTCATAATAATAGTGAACCCTGATGCATGACTACTGTGTGCCAGGTCTTGTTTTAAGTACATTATGCTCATTAGGCCTTGCTTTTATAGAGGTAGATACTAGTATTATATCTTAATTGCCTAAGAGAAATTTGAGGTAAAGAAGTATTATGTAATAGCCCCAAAATAGACTAATTAAATAAATAATGCTAAGAAAAGTGCTAAACCATAGGTGAGACATATATTCTAAATATCACCTCGCCCTTTACATATTTGAATTATTAGTCTTTGCTCTGTACCAATGAAACAGGAAATAAGACAAACACAAATGTATGAAAATCCATTATTGTAAATTAACTTTATTCACTTCAAAGCAATCATTCTGAGTCACCTCCATATGGATCCTAAGGAAGCAATTAATGTCTAATATGCAACTAATCTTTGAATTCTTTTGATCATTGTGGCATGTTCTTTGTAATATTTCTAATGGTATCTAGTCTTACTCCTTTAAGAAAGGTCAGCAAACTTTTTCAATGAACAGCCGGATAGAAAATATTTGGCTTTGCAAAACATAGGGTCTATGTGAGGACTATTCACCTCTGCCATGGTAGTGCACAGCAGCCATAGACAACATGTAAATGTATCGATATGATTGTGTTTCATAAATTCAGCATGTAAAATCATCCAGAGGTCAGATTTAGTTCAAGGGACTTGTTTCTTTTTAAAGACGAATTTTTGTTGGCTGCTATGGTTTTGGCAAAAAACAGTCAATATCATTTAAAGGTAGGTAAAGATCCAGGTGAATATATGTATTCTTTACATATAAGCATATGTGTGTGTGTGTGTGTGGCCATCTTTCTATATATAGCCATATATTAATATAAAGATGGTTATAAAATACCACTATTTGGGGGTCGTGTCCCAAACACAGTCTTTCAAGGAAATGCTAACAGTCAATTTCCAAAAGAGCCATTAAAATAAGTGCATAGTCTTTCAAGGTTACCAGTTAGTGGAAGAAAAGGCCAATTTCTAATATTTAATGGTCTGTATGATGCATAATCTAGAAGTCAAGAATTTTGATTTCAAAGTATTTTTTAAAAATATTTTAAAATGTATTCTCTTTATTGTGTGTGTATACTTTAAATGCACACTTTTTATCACTGAACTTAAAATTTTTACTATTTACTAGAGATAATTATTAATTTGTATTGAAATTTGTAAGCATAAATGTAAAATAATAAAATTTCAAAAGTGATATTTTAATGTTTATAATGCAATTTATATCTCCCATGATGGGAGCATTAGCTGAAATGCCATTAGAGTTTAGAGGACGCCTGTCTTGTGATCTACAAAAGGGGATATTCCTTCTAGTTTCAGCTGCTACATTGTAAATACTGCTTGATGGGTTAGATAATGATGATATCATCAGTTCATGCAACCAATTCTTTTTGTTTGTTATGTGACTAAACTTTTGCTGCAAAGAGCAAGGCGGTTGTAAATTTTTTCTTACGGATACAAATAATTTTCTGTTGCTTCAGTGATCCAAGAAATGACAGATTTTTTTTGGGCAGTTCATGTACTTATGTTTTATGCTCAATAGAAAGATTACAAATCTTCATCTTTCTCTTTCCAGGGACAGAAGCAGCTGTGAGTCCAACTGTTGGAATTCACCTTCAGACTCAAACCCCTGACCTGTATCCTGTTCCATATGAAGAAATTTTAGGCTCCCCACCTCCATATGAAGATATTATAAAAACAAGCTGATCTGAGGTCTGGATTATCAATTTAAAGTATTAACGACATCTGTAATTCCAAAACAACCAATTTAGGAATAGTTATTTCAGTTAGTGGAAATGTCCAGAAATCTATTCATATAGTCTGAGGAAGGACAAATAGACAAAAGTAAAAAAATGGGTGTCTGGAAACATTTTGATCATGGAGATGTCTAAATGGTAAATTAGTCGACTCTTGATATGTCACTGCTGTGTCATACTTTTATGCTACACCACTGAATTAATGCTTTCCACTAGAACCTAAATAAACAATAATTAGGTGCTAGAATTTGTCTCTATTACATTTAGGACTCCACCGCAGTATACATCACACCATTTTCTGCTTTAAACTCCTTCCTAGTGTGGAGTCCGTAAAATGATTGTAATTTAACAATAGCCCAAGCAGAGAACCCAACATGTCCGGAACCAGAACCAGAAAGGTAATATTTGAATTATGGTGAGTGAGGGAAGAGGGTAGGTAAAAGAAAAGTTTGGAGTTGAAGGGTATAGGATAAATGAAGAGGAAAAGAAAAGATTACAAGTCTCAGTCCAAGAAACTTTATGCCTCAACCTTAGGAGGAAGAAATTGTAGATAGAAGATGAAGGAGATTGCTGAAGACATAGAGCATGTGTAATGCTAATGGGGTGAGGATGGGGAAGAAAGTTCCCATTTTACAGGAATTAACATGGACTCCATAGCCACAGTCTTTCTCTGGAACTTCAAGGCTTGGCATTTACTGGAGCACTATGCTAAGAACCTTTGGCATAGATATCAGTATACTCATGAGGACTGCAGACATCTTCAAGTGGCATTTTGGCAGTGGCCATCAGTGGAGGAACAGAAAAAAAAAAAACATCTATTGTAGATGCTATATGAACTTCAGCTGACAAACCTGTTGAAAAAAAAACAATAAACATCAATAGATATCTAAAATTTAGCTTCACCAAACTTATTTCCTAATGTTCTTTTTCCAAATCTGTTTATCCAAACCTTCCTCATCTCAGTAAACTGCAACTGTTGCTCAGGCAAAAAAATACTTGGAGCCATAGAAGCTAAAGTAATCCTTTTAAATAAACTATTTTTAGACCAGCTTTAGGTCCACAGGAATCCTGAGCAGAAGGTACAGAAATTTCTCATATACACTCTGCTTTGACACTTACATAACCTCCCTGCTTACCAACATTCCTCACCAGAGTGGTACACTTCTTACAAGAGGTGTTGATGGGCGTATACTGACATAATTATCATCCAAGGTCCATAGTTTATATTGTGATTTACTCTTGGTGTTGTACATTCTGTAGGTATGACAAATTTAGAATGACATGTACCTACCATGATAGCGTCACACAGAGTATTCCACTGCCCCTGAAAGTCCTCTTTTCATGGCTTGATAGCTCATTTCTTTTCAGGGCTAAATAAAATCCATTGTCTGGTATACTAAAGTTTATTTATGCCTTCAACCTGCTGAAGGACGTCTTGGTGGCTTCCAAGTTTTGGCAATTCTGCATAAAGCTACGGTTAATATGCATATGCAAGGTTTTGTGGAGACATAAGTTTTTAACTCCTTTGGGTAAATTCCAAGAGCATGTTTGTTGGATTGCATGTTTAGTTTTGTAGCAAAACTACTGACCTACCTTCCAAAGTGTCTGTACCATTTTGGAGTTCTAGCAGCAGTGAATGAAGAGTTCCTGTTGCTCCACATCCTCACCAGCATTCCGTCAGTCTTCTGAATTTTGGCCATACTAATAGGTGTGCAGTTGTTTTAATTTGCAATTCCCTAATGATGTATGATGTAAAGCACCTTTTGATACGTGGAGTAATCTTTTTACAACATAAGGAGCATCAAGTACCTTAACTAAACTCTAACTGAGGGACTCCACCTCAGTAAAAAAAACATATGTCAAGTTCCTTGACAATAGCTCTGTAGGATCTGTACTCCTTCACCATCTCCATTCTTGTGTTTCCCTTTTACTCATTTGCTGCAAAAACACTGTCAGGTACTAGCCTACCCCGACCTTGCAGTTCTTTTTGTCTGCAATATTCTTCCCCCAGATATCAACATTGCTTCATCAACTCACCTGCTTTAATTTTTCTTCAAAAGTCACCTTCCCAATGAGGCCCACACTGACTATTCCCCTTTAAATTGCAGCCTCTTCCAACTCTGACACTCCCAAACTCCTTATACTAGAAACACTTTTTATTTTTCCATGGCATTTACCATCTTCTACTATGCCAGAAAGCTGAATTGTATTGGTAGTCTGCTACGTTTCTTCCAGGGCTGGAATATAAATCCACGAGTGAAGAAAATCATTTCCTTGTATACTGATTTATACCCAAGTGACTAAAAACACCTTGCCTTGTACTAAAACTAAGTTTTGAAGTAACGTTTCCTAGTTCTGGAAACTCCCAAAAATCTGGATGAGGATTTAATGGGGGTAAGGCCTTATGAAAGTGAGGGTAAGTAGAAGCCAGAGACAGCTGACTTACTGCTATTAACTTGTTTCCACTGATGAAAAATATCTGAAGAAGCTTTTGTTTGTGTACTGCAATAATCCCTGGTGTGTATAGAGCTTTATAGTGAATAAACTGCTTTCATATATGCTGTCAGATTTTATCCTAATAACAATTTTGTCACCTGGCTACTCCTAACTTCAAGTTAAACATGGTAGAATGAAGACATCTACTTTCTTCAGAAACCTACTAAGATTATAGTAAAGGAATTAAAATGTTTTTAATTCACAAGGACAGAGGGAAGAAGATGACGGTAAGAAGTTAATCATAAGATTTTAGTACTTGGAAAGGTGAATGAGATGAACACAGATGGTTGTCATGATTGACTGAGGTTTTAAGTTTCTCTACTTTGCTAAGTGTCAGGGAAGAAATAGAATGGTTAAGCTAATATTTGCTATGGCAATCAAGAAATGTCCAAGAATTAGAGGCAAAAGAAGTGAAGAGAATTCTGAAAATTCTGAAGTTAATCTATAAAAAGATAGTATTGTAGCACCCAAAAAGAGCCAGTTTCAATCAGAACATGATAGCAATGAGCTACAGGAAATAAGAAGAATGATTAAAGAAAAATATATAATGTAATTATAATGATAAATTAGTAGTAAGTAGAAAACAGAGGAAGTGGAAAAAACAAAACATTTATTAAATCCATGAACAACAAAAGTTGGATTAACTATAAAATGGCTAAGCTATGAAAATTTCAAATAATTAGTACTGTCAAAAATGGTTAAGCTATGAATTATGCAAATAATTAATATTATTTAAATTAATTAAAAATTTTAAATTAATAATCTTAAACGTATATTATTTATATTAACAAGACAGGTAGAGGGAAAAGGTTTGTGAAGGAAGGTGGCAGGATATGGTAAGAAACCTAAATGCTAATCTCAGATTGTGGAAATTTAATTAAAGGAAAAAACAACTGTTGCTAAAATGCATCATTTCAGAATTAGATCATAAATATTTGTTACAAAATACGGAATGAGTTGAAAATTGTTGCTTCAAGAAATTGGACATGGAGGTAATGTGTGGGCTAAGATATGGCAGAACGTACTGACTTCTATTATGATTCTATAGCACTGCTTGACTTTCAAAATTACCTTCATTTATTACTTTAGTATAAAGAAATATAAAATCAAACAGGTACATGACTTGGCAGAGGTGTAGCTTGTAATTGCAAGCCAACAAAGGAAGTCATAGTATAAAGAAGTAAAAAACGTTAAACATAATATCTTCACGGTAATGGGGCTACAGGTGATTTTATTTTTTGTATGTTTCTCGATTTTCTAATTGTTTAATGATGTGCATATATACTTTCGTAGTTGAAAAGCTCACAACCCTCTGTTTTAAGAAAAATAGACACACATGCATATATATAATTTTCTTTTTTGAGATGGAGTTTTGTGTATATATATGTATGTATATATGTATGTATATATATATGTATGTGTGTACATATACGTATGTATATATATGCATATATATACACACATAAAACTCCATCTCAAAAAAGAAAAAAGAAAGCAGACATACATATGTGTGTATATACATATGTATATACCTACATATATATGTGTGTGTGTATATATATATATATATATATATATATATATATATATGCTCTTGTTGCCCAGGCTAGAGTGCAATGGTGCCATCTCGGCTCAACACAACCTCTGCCTCCCAAGTTAAAGCTATTCTTCTGCCTCAGCTTCCCAAGTAGGTGGGATTACAGGGATGCACCACCACATCCAACTAATTTTTGTATTTTTAGTAGAGATGGTCTTTCACCATGTTGGCCAGGCTTGTCTCGAACTCCTGACTTCAGGTGATCCACCCATCTCTGTCTCCCTGGAATTGCAGGTGGCAGCCACAGCACCCGACCAAAAATATTTATTTTTTAAATGAAGGTTGTTTTTTTCTTTTTTACTAATGAGTGTAGCAATTTCTTTGAGCATCCACCAGAGGGCATGAAAGCCAATCTATGATTCCAGACCATTAGCTGCATTTGTTTTAATAGCTAGATGAAACTATGAAGCTGAGTTGCTACTAATATCAAATTTTTGACAGACCCTAACAGAATGAAATAATATTGAAGTTCACATTTGCAAAAAGTTAGTTGGTTTCTTTCACAAGAAAGCTGAGCATTAGGTGAGATGCCTGGCATCAGAATGTAGAAAATTTGAAATAGATACCATCTTTCTGAGGATTAAACCTATGAGTTTGAGGTGTCTACAAAGGTAGGCTACTTTGTGCATATAATGCCCACGTGGTGTGTAATATCTACAATACTGGCCTTATAGGTCTAGCCTATATCATTTTTACCTGATAGCAAGTTCCTTTTTAATTTTCAGTTTTTTAGTTACAAATTTGTTTCATTTACATTAGGACCACAACTTTATAAGAGACAATTTTAAAATTCAATATCTTTCACAAAAATGAAATAGAGTTGGGATAGAGTTAAAATAGCATTCATGTGGACCATAAAATGAAACTCACCCAGAATATTATATTTAAGGCAAAATGTGAAATTCTTCAGAATTGTGTAAGAGAAAATGAAATAATGAAAATGTGTTGCCTATAAAACCACTCTGTTGAGAGTGATTTTAAAAAAAGAACAAAGAAAAGGAATAGACTATACATACCAAGTGACTCTTTTACTTTCAAATTCATTTTGCTTTGTGATTTTGTACAAAATAATCCTATACAGGCATTTTTGAATCTGTAATATTGGATGCTGATAAAAAGTACCATTTTTGTTATTTTGTAATTTTCTTATTTTTTGGCTGTGGATAAAGCCTATACACTAAATGTAAACACATTTCAATTTATACTTCCTAACTCTGATACTATTATGGTTATGCTTTGCATAAGCAGTGAAACTTAATAAACTATCTTTCCTTTTGCTTAGAGTATATTTAATGATGAGAATAATACATGGATTAACCCAGTATGTACCAAAATTCAATTCCTCACATACAGACTGAAAAGCTTTTCTGTTTATTTTATTTAATGTATTTTAAAGTGAAATCAGTTTTAAACTGAAATATATTTTAAGTTGAATCTTTAAATTATATTACAAATAGAAAAGTGACCTTTTTCAAGCCCATATAAAAATAAATAATGGCTATAAAATAAAAATGTTCTATGTACCACCTAAATATGTTTCAAATGCCATTGGTAGTAAGTATCTATGTCACCCTTTTAGAAGTTCATTAATATATGCTTACAAATTGGAGACACAACATAAGATGAACTAGAAACAAGAAAAATATCTTTGTAATTCCCATTTTCAGGAATACATGTCCAAACAATTAGTGAAAACAGAAAAAGTTGCTCAATTGGGTCAACTGTGCTCAATTTAATTAAATGCATATCAAAACAGCAGTATAATAGCACTGTTTATCCATAAGATTGGCAATATTAAAGATCGTTAATATCTTGTTTTGGCAAGAGCATGGGGAAACGAGCGCTTTCATACAATGTTAGTGGACGTATAACATAGTGCAGCCTTTTTACGAAGGCCAATTTGGCTATGTTACCTAAAATTTTGGTGGATACTTCCATGCTGTCAACATTTATACTTTTGGACCCAGATATTAATTCTACAGCTATAATGCTACAGAAAGGCAAAGATTTTTCTCAATGTTACTCATTGCAACATTGTTTATAGTAGCAAAACATATAAACAGTGATGATGCTTAAAGGGACATTTTAGACAAATAATTGTACGTTCATACAATGAACTATGTAGCTATTAAAAAGAAGAGGTCATATGGGGAAAAAAATCAATGAATGATTATAAATTTTATTTTTGGTTTAAGGGAAGATATAGAAAATAGCATGGCATACACATTTTCAAAGAATCTAGACATACCATAGTTCATAATTTTTTTCTTTGAAAGATATAAAATATTGGCGATAGGTACACCTCTTGTGTGAGGACAAATAGGGGAACACCATAGGAGTAAATAAGATACATTGTTAAATATTTACATTTCTGTACTGTTGATTGTTTGGAAATCTTATATATGTATACTTTTTAAAGTATGCTAACAGAGACTCTCTAGATGCTGGGATAATTGATATGATTTGTTTGTTTAATTCTTTATTCTTTTCCATTTTAGACAAATACATATTATTTCAGAAAATTCTCAGAATGACTAAATCACCAATTTTCGTAATGGAAACATAGGAGAACCAATACTGGATTGTGTATAATATTATTTTCCAATTACTGCATATCAGAAGCCACCGTGATCCACTTAAGAACAAAAGCTGTGCAATCTGCTTCAGGAATGATTTTTCTACTAATTTCTAGTGTATCCACTGACTATAAGGCTGAAACTATTCTCAAGCTTGAGAATCTAGAGACAAAAAAAGAAAACGAACAAGTTTAAGTGTGAAGAACAGAGTCTGGTAAAGAGACTAAACAGAGAATCAGCCTTCTCTCTGTGATGGTGATCTCTGGTTTAATAAGACTGCTCCATCAATGATGCAGCAAATATATGGGTTGTATTTCCAGTTGCGGCATTAGGGACTTTTTAGTCCTCACCTCAATTTTGCTACCTTGGAAAGAGAGGAAAATGCTGTATTTAGGAAAGATGTCCCTTAAGAAATGATCTGTTATTGGAGATAGGAAGGATGTTCAGAGGTAAAAATCAGGAAAAGGATCAGGTGTTTAGGGATAGAGGCAAGAAAAGTATAGGGCCATCTGAAGCAAAGAAAGAAATGCAGTCTGATTGGAAGGTGATAAGTAGACAGGAGAGTGGTAAACCGAGAGGCAGTAGCAGTTTCCAGAGCTGAATTCATGGAGAGCCTGAAAATTAGTTTACAACTTTTGTTGCTTTATCCTAAAAAAAATAGGAAGACAATCTGGCTGCAGTATGAAGCATGGATTGGGGGAAGGAATATAAGAGACTGTTGCAATCATCTCAGGGAGAAGATAAAAATTTGGACTAGGATTAAGATAATAACTTGGACTAAGGGAATGACTTAGAGGGCTTTAAATTAGTTAGAATCTATAGTGTTTAGTCTTTAGCTGATCATCAAAATGTAAGTAGTGAGAGAGTTCGAAACAAATTCTAGGGTTTTCTATAAAGCCTAAGATACCTAATATCTAGCACACAGGATTACATAAATGTTTTAGAATAAAATAACAACAGATACTTTTTAAAAATTCAAATTAATAAATAAGGTGTTTATCATGCACATGATGTGTTATAGTATATGTGCATTGTGGAAAGCTTAAATATAGTTGATTATCAAATTCATTCCCTGACATATCTATCATTTTTGTGACAAGAGCACTTAACATCACTCTCTGCATGTTTCTAAGAATGCAATATATATTTCATCTTAGTTCATTTTCTGTTGCTATACCAGAATACCAAAGACTGGGTAGTTTATAAAGAAAATAAGTTTTCTTTGAGATATACAACTTTTAAGTTCAGGGATACATGTGTAGGATGTGCAGGTTTGTTACATAGATAAATGTGTGCCACGGTGATTTGCTGCACAGATTATCTTATCACACAGGTATTAAGCCCAGTGTCCATTAGCTATTTTTCGTGATTCTCTCTCTCCTCTCACCCACTGCCTTCTGACAGGCCCCAGTGTGTGTTGTTCCTCCCATGTGTCCATGTGTTTTGAATATTTAGCTTTTCACTTGTAAGTGAGAACATGTGGTATTTGGTTTTCTGTTCCTGCATTACTTGGCTAAGGAAATTGGCCTCCAGCTCCAGCCATGTCACTGCAAAGAACGTGATCTCATTATTTTTTGTGGCTGCATAGTATTCCACGGTGTATGTGTCCTACATTTACTTTATCCAGTCTATCGTTGATGGGTATTTAGGTTGATTCCATGTCTTTGCTATTGTGAGTAGTGCTGCAATGAACATACTTAGGCATGTGTCTTTATAAGAGATTGATTTGAATTCCTTGGTGTATAAGAGCTTCTTCACAGCAAAAGAAACTATTGACAGAGTAAACAGACAATCTACAAAATGGGAGAAAACTGTTGCAATCTATCCTTCTGACACAGGTCTAATATCCAGCATCTATAAGGAACTTCAACAAGAAAAAACAAGCAACACCGTTTAAAAATGGGCAAAGGACATGAATAGACATGTCTCAAAAGAAGGCACACATATGACCAACAAACATATGAAGAAAAGCTCAACGTCACTGATTATTAGAGAAATCAGTGGGAAAAAATGTAGTTTGATTAAGAGAGACTTAGGGACTTAAAATGAAATGCAGTTCCTTTTTGGACAAAGTAGCTGAGTAATATGTTTTTAAATGTTTGAGGAAATTTAAACATAGACTAGGTATTACATATGAAAATGTATTGCTACTGTAAATCAGAGGTTAAATTTAAAAAGTAGATATACAGCAAAATATAAAATGATCTCTTTAAAAAGAGATACATATTTATATGAATGTCTTTAAGTGTATGTGCATAAATGGAGAATATCTGAGAGTCTGTGTAGATATTCAATAAAATTTTAGGAGTAGTGATGTCCTAGGTAGAGAGAATATAGTGAGAATGGTGTGTTAGTATTTAAATAAGATATATTTTTGAATCTTTCTGATATTTATGCAAAGATTTTACAATGAACATATACAAATTTTATAATGATGAAAGCTAATTTTAATTTAAAAATTTGATTTTAGAAAATAGTTAATAAAGGGGTAAATAGCATTGTCCCATTTTTAAATTTTTCTTTCCTTACATTGCAATTAATAGACATGCCTAAATTTTAGTACTCAGTATTTAGTGAGCTATTTTAATGTGTCAATCTAATAATCTTACTTGTATATACTTTTGGATAAATAAATAAACTATTGCTTTTTTTTCTTATGTCATGTTGCACCACAAACTGTCAATTATTACAGCTTCATCATTTAGCATTTATTTTGTTGTTCACTAGTTGCCATACAAAGCATAGTCTTCTTTATGCTCTATTTTGGGATGCTTCATTAAATTACAATGAACTAGAAATGAATATTTCAAATAAATGTTTAAAAACAAATATTGACATTCTTCCCATTATATAAAAAATGTTTTAATTGAGACAAAACTCAAAATAGTCACAAACATCAATTATCATCATGGTTCTCTGAAATATTTTCTTATACAAATAAAAAAAATTACCTTTTTAAAATCTAATGAACTGTTTAATTATTTTTGTCCTGCCTTTCCCCATAAAGATTTCAAGAGACTTATTGGAATAGATAAAGCATGACAGGTAATAAATTATCAAATAAAAATGAGCATAAAAGTTAAAAACCAAGATTGAGGGGGAAAACACAAAATAATTTTTTAAATGCATAGAATAACAATCAAATAACTAGTGCATATGATTTACAAAATTTTTAATGTCAATTACACAGTTAATAGTAAAAATGAGATCAAGTTAAATCTATTGCTGTTAATTCTCCAACTGGATTGGAATTGCTTCAGAGAATACTGTTGAAGATACTGTGGGAAGTAATAAACAACATTCTCGAAATATTAATCCATGTGCTAGGAATCATAAGCTAATTTTCACATTATTCTATGCTCTTTAAATTGGAAACATTTATTTCCACATTTTTAGAAATTCACAACTTAATTTCTATTTTTTCAAAGAACTAACTTGTAGTTCAGCAGATTGCCTTTTAAGGTAATGCGAGGGTACCTTAAAGGTATTAGTGTCATTAATGTTAATGACAAATAATTAGAAAACTGGAGATTAAATTTTATAACCTTAAAAAAACTCTACAATTAAAAAAGTTCAAGATGAGTACATTATGAATATGAATTAAATTCCATTAGCCAGTTCTTTATATATATAACTCTGTATTCCCACATTTTATGAGGAACATTGATTTTTCAGTGGAGTTGTGAACCTTTATTTATTTAAATCAACATATATTTGTTAAATTTTGCTATATGTCTAATATATTGCTTGGTGCTGATGATTCAGTGGCGCGTAGGCACTTGAATTGGTGAATTCTAACATACTACATTACAATAGTGCTTGGATGTTTAATCAATAAATGAGTAAATTCTCTGGTTGAACTATTACTTCTGTAGTCTAATAATTTGACAATATATAGGTAATGCTAGAATAGTGGTGAAATAATAGACAGATCCCTTAGGTTGTTAATGAGGTAGAAATTCATCAGGAGCTCCAGTATTAATTTAGCATTTGCCTTTGGCATTTAGAGTGAGTGGGAGGAGGGATCTTGTCTTTAACTCTCACCAGTGGCTGGTATACAAAGTTATTTTCTTTTTCTGTTTAATACAGTAAGAGTAATGGTAGGCATTGATATACCAGTTTGAATTTAAAAGAACAATCTGCCTCAAATGTATCAAATAATTCACCACTTTTTAAAAATACAAAAGGTGAACCAAAAGCCAGGGAGAAAGGTAAGTTTGTACATCTTTTCAAAGATTAGGGTTCCTGGCCTCTTTTGAGATTTGCTTTCTATTTAAGTATCATTTCATTTTAATATTACCATGTCATAACCTGTAATAGCTATGTAGAAATCACAAACAAACATTTCTACATCCTAGCAGACTAACCTTAAAATATAGGGAAAGTGTGTGCATAAGGAGAAAGGTTAGCAGAGAGAATGAGGGGAAAATATGAGAGTAATAGAAAGGAAAAGTAGAGGAGAATCAAACATTTTGATTAACCAACAATTAATTTAGTTGAATATGAATTCTAAATAACTGTTCCTAGGTTGACTTTCTATTTTATCAATGTAACCATATTGATTGATCAGATCATATATAAGCACAGCGTGAGACGTACATTTTACACCCTTGTGTCTACAGCATACATTTTGGCTGTCTCCGTTCGAGGGGCTGCATATGACTTGGCCAGAGAAATACCCGTGGCTGAATAGGCTTCCCTCAAGGAATAAGGATAGTTTCTCTCAGGTCCGACATCTGTTTGAAAGAGACATAAATATAAGTAAGATTCAGTGAACTCTGGAAAATTATAAATCACCATTTCGAATGTTCTTCCTCAAAAGGAGCAAGAATATAGATAGTCAAAGTAGGTAGCATCTTGAAACTCTAAGAAGAATCCTAGAAGACAATCTAAGATTTTCATGCTGAAAGTTACTTTAGGTTTAAAATTCAGCCAAGTAGTTTTCCCTTTCTTTTCTTTTTCTTTCTTTATGATGAAGAATCAGGAGCGGTATTCCCTGAGTTTCTAAGATGATATTTTTAGAAACCCCATGTAACATGTTACGCCCTTTAACAAGAAATATTTGGCTGGCTCTTAGTGCACTTCTTCATTTAACACTAAACATACATTTATTTGAGTGGGTGAAGGGATATATATATGCGCATGTGTGTGTGCACACATGTATGTATATGTGTATATATGCATATATGTACAAATTCATTTGCAGTATGTGCCTATACACATATGTTTCTGTATACATATGTACACGTGCATATATGTAACTGTACACATATGTGCAGATGCATATATACCTATGTATGTACATACATACATAATATGTATTACTATATATAACTATATATTTATTATAATTATATAGTAGGTTATATGTAATTATTAAAATATATAATTAGAATATATGTATATTAGAATTGTACATATATGTATATTATAATTATACATATATGTGTATTAGAATTATACATATATATGAATACCATTCACTTTCCCTTGAACAATTGAAATTTTTAATGGTAATAGATAGGAATTTAAATAAATAGCGTTATTTTTAAATTTTGAAATGTGTTTTCACTGGCTTGGGAAAAAGTGGAGGCAAGAAAGTTTGCTCTTTTATTTTATTCTTACCTTTAAAAAGGTATAAGCAGCAGGTGAGAACCGCTCCAGCCAAAAAGCAACCCAGAGACCCAGCCATTCCAAGCCAACAGGACCAACCAAATTTATATTGGATACCAAGAAATATATTATGCAAAACCAGAGAAGAACGTTCCACATAAACATCAACAGCATACCACACAGAGCCAATGATTCCCGGAGCACCTGAAAGAAAGGGAGGATGCAGCAAATAATAGGGACCAATTTCTGAATTTAAAGCCCAAAATGCCTGCTTACTACCCAAACTGGCTGGCATCATTCAGAGATTTAAAAACGGTAACATGGATTGATGGGCAACCCAAACTTTGGACACTTC